GCTCCCGCAGCCATCCTGCCATCGCCTGGGGGCAGAGCTGGGCTCTCACAAGCAGCCTGTGTCAAGCCTGTGCTTAGTGAAGGGGGAAACGGATCGTGTGAAGGAGGAAACGGATCGTGTGAATGCTAAAACAGAGGATATGATGACATCTGATCAGACTTCTTCCAGTGGTGATCTGATGGAGCCACCAGAAAAACCACAGAAATTCCCAGAGAACTTAAACATTTCAACGCAACCAGCTCTTTCCAATTTCATAAGCCAGTTAAAAACTGAAGCATTCCACAGTTGGGTCAAAATTATACAGAAAAACACTGTGAAATTTTATATTCATGAAGAGGAGGAAAGCATTCTCTGCAAAGAAATCAAGGTAGGTGTGTTCCAGTTCAGCCTCTCTGTACTGTTAAAATAGAAGAGTGCCTTTCAAATAAGAACATATGAAACTGGATTGGGAAACATAAGGGAGCCTGAAATTTGTTTCAAAAAAAGGTTGAATTGTGAAAGGGAATTCTGAAAGTAGGTTGTCCTGTCCCATTTCTCGCTTGAGCATCTGAGGTAGCCTTGCTTATATTTAGCTTTGACATAAATCTCTTTGTTGGGAAGCAAACAGGCTGCATTTTGGTTCTTTCCGAAGATACTGCTGGGGTGGGGAGTTGCCTTGTGGAAAAAGGATGACAAAGGGCAACAATGTGATAGCTTTCCATGTTAGAAAGAATCTGTGGGAAGTCGGTGCGTGTGGTTTGGGTTTTTCCCCTCCCTGCCAGGTGATAGTACCGGTAACTTTCAGAGAATACTCTTCCTCCCTATTTCAGTGTCTAAGATGAAAGATGAAAGTGGAAGTAATAAAAACTTCTGACTTTACTTGAAAACTCAATGCAGTTTTGCTAGACAGTCAGTTGGCCATTTCTGTGTGATTTTGTAAGAATCGGTGACATGATGAAACAGTTCATTCCTGTGGTGCTACATCCTTCTGATGAATGTATCAGAAAGAAGGAAACCAGGCCCTCTCAGGTTGATTTGAGTGGAAAACTTAATTGGCACAGTCATCATGTGGGGGTTGTTTTGGCTGAACTACCTATTCACTTTTTTCTTCACCATCTTCTGTTTCTGTGGTGTTAGGAGTACCTTACAAAGTTTGGTAATAGAGAGTGCCATCCAGAAGAGTTCCTTAAAAGAAGAGCTGCTTCAGATAAGCTGTTGATAATTATCCAAAATGAAGACATCGACCACCTCATCCATAAGGTATTTCACATAAGTAACGTGTACTGTAGAGAGCTGCTGTTGACATAGGGTGCGACAGGCTCGTTTGAGCAGCGATGTTTAAACCGTGCCCTGTGCGTGGCTGCCATTTGGAGAAGCAGAACTGGTTGTGGTAAATGCCTGCTCCTGTTCCCTTACACACCTGCAGCTTCTCCTCCGCAGACCTGTTAACATGTCTTTCAGTAGTAGTGATGTTGAAGTTGCACGGGGGCCCGAGTAGTTCTGTGATGCTGCACTGCCGAGTGGAGGCAAGTGTCGGATGACCTCAGGTAGCAAGTAAAATCATTCCAAGTGCTCAACCTCCATTGTCTTGTTCCTTCAACGTTTTTGTGAGAGCACCTCCCGAGGCAAGAGAAAAAATAATAGTTTTTTGAAAATGTGTTTTGAAGTTTGATATTTGGTTTCAGTTAAGTAGGAAAGTTCTGCAGTTCCTCTTTGTTTTGACTGATAATTGATACGCATCTCTGATTTATAACATTTTTGAACAGATACCTGGCTTAGTAACTTTGAAGAGGCTTTCTTGTGTCAGTTTTGCGGGTGTGGATAGTTTGGATGATGTGAAAAATCGCACTTACAATGAATTGTTTGTGTCTGGTGGTTTTGTTGTGTCGGATGAATCTGTCCTTAATCCAGAGTCCATCACTACAGGTGAGTGTGATGCTTTCTGGAGCATTAAAACATAGAATAAAATGGCTTTTTTTGTCAGGGAGAGATGACCTACTTGACACAGTGAAGAATCAACTCTTTGAATTTTTAAGTCCTCTATCTAGTTTTTGTAATTTTCGGGAGAGAATTTCAGTTAATTCAGTCTCTTTTTTACCTCTTTTTTGTGTTTTTGAGAATGTTTTCTGGGCAACGTGAACTTGAAAATCTTGTCTTCTTAAGTTTGTGTTAAGAAGTTTTTCTTAAGAGTGTCTAGTTACAGGTATGGAAGCTTTCATTCCTTTCTATGCACTCTAGAGAAAAAAAAATCCTACTTGTGTAACTTTTTTTTTTTTTTTAAATTAAACTAGTAGTGAAATTACCATTTTTTTAAATAGGCATCTTAGCAGGGGAGAACATGTCAGACTGAATTCAGTTTTCATGTAAGCAGATACCCCTGTTAGGCATCTGACCTACAAAAAAGCAGCCCAGTTTTGGAATACTGTTTTTGGTCCATCTGCTGGGAAGCAAACCTGAAGTCCAAGGCTTACGTTCATAGCTGGGTAACTATGACAAGGACGGAAAGAAGCTTCATGTATATACTGACACACTGTTTCCAGTGTGCAAAGCACAAAACTTGACTTGTATTCATTATCTCCAAAACAGATAAACTGAAACAGTTCTTGAAGTTTCTGGAGGATCTCAACACCCCAGATGGGAAATGGCAGTGGAAAGTCCACTGCAAAATACAAAAAAAACTTAAAGAACTGGGGAGGTAAGCAGTGTTCTTCAAATATCAGTTGTTGAAACACTTCAGCTGTAATTATGTTCTCCAAAATCTAATGAACTAGAACTTGCTCTTACACTGGTCTTTTGATGTAGTTTTAATATTCAGACTGCCCTTATGAGGCATCTAACGGTGCACTTGTTTTCCCCATTATAGACTGAATGCTAATGCCTTGAGTCTACTGACCCTTCTGAATACCCATCAAAAGAAGCACCTGGTTGAGATTCTGTCTTACCATAATTGTGATTCTCAAACTCGAAATGTTCCAGAATTAGACTGTCTTATCAAGCTTCAGGCTCAAAACATACAGCAGAGACATGTTGTCTTCTTAACAGGTAAAAACAAAATACATGAATACTTCTCTCCCTCTTTTGCTAATAGGTGCTAAACAGTAATACGAAATCTCCTTTTATGTATTCAGAAAAGAATCTCAAAACACTTTCCGGTTACGTGGATAATGGAATAGTGGTGGCTACCGTTGATGACTTTATGCAAAATTTTAAGAGCCTGGTGGGCTATCACCACTCAGTTACTGAAGAGAAGAGCCTTCCTCCCGACGAGGCTCCCAGGGGGCAGTCAGGTACCACCGAGCGCACCGAGGGTTTCTCTGCGCGGTTAGACGGGGGGGGGTTCCCCGGGACCCGCGGGCCCGCCGCCCCCGCCGCTGGCAGCGTCCACCGCGGGTGGCCAGGGACACCCCGCTCCCCCTGTGTGAGTGGAGGGGGCCGGGCCAGCGGCGCGCCGGCGGAGAGCTTACCTGCACAGCTGTAGGCTGACTGGGTGTGCCAGGGAGCAGGTGTGTGCTGAGGGGTGGAACTGTCAGTTTCCAGGAAAAGGGTAAACTCGATAGCTTTTAGAAACTGTAAAAATAGGACTGATCTGTCAGTAATTGTACTCCTTTTAATTGTCTTATCAAATCCTCACCTACTGTATAACTTCAGATGCTGGTTTGACATTAACCCCTTTGGAGCTGGGAGTTGGGATTTCCCAACACTAAACATGAACACAGTGCACAGAAGCTTTTAGCATCGGAGTAACTGGACGGTCCCACAGCAGGGGGGTCAGTGTGTATGTTGAGTAAGTGAACAAGAGTGGCAGAAGACCAAGACTTAAGTGATACTGGACTTACAGACCTGAAGTGTAACACTCTGTGAGTAGCGTATAGCTTTTCTAACAAAAGTTGGTATTTCAGTAGAATAGGACTCTCTCTCTCTCTTTTAATGTAGTTCTTGTAGAAAATGATGGAAAGGAGGAGGAGGACATGTCTCTGGATTCAGGGGATGAAACATCACAGATAGAAATCTGCAATGATGCCTCTAAGGAGGCCAAGGGCTCACATGGAGTAAATGCAAAGGAAAGCTGCTTGTCAGTTACAGAGTTAACTCCTGAAGCACAAGTGGGCTCAATGGAAAAGACTTCTAAAATCGACTTGGAAGAGGCGCAACCAATTACTCCAGTTTCTACAACATGCTCTGCTGAAGGACAAAAACACAATTCAGTTGAGCAAACTCCTTTCAGTAATTTCCAAGCCTATAATAGACAATTAAACATGTCCCATCAATTCAGTCACTTCAGTGTTCTCACTCATCAGACTTTCCTGGGAACAACATACCCAGTTTCTTCTGCAAGTCAAAACCAGGAAGGGGGCAGCTATTTTCTGTCTGCTTACAGTCAGAGCGTGGGTACACAAAAATCGTCGTTGCCTGGTCGCTGGGATAGAAATTGTGATTCTTCCAGGCCATACTCGAAATAGAAATAAACTCCCAAGTCTCTTTTTATAAAAAAAAGTTACTGTGGACTTTTGTTTCTAAAATGCTAAAATGGTGGATTAACAATTTCTATTTTATCCTGGAACAAAATGTTTCTTGTCCTTTATCTCAAATGTTTTCTTGTCTTATTTAAATCCTGATGGCCTGTACCTGTTGGAACTATCTGAAAATTGAAATAAATATATATATTTTTTAACGTTTACTGTACTTGAATTATCTTGTTTGTTGGCACTTTTAAGTTTCTACATTTGTATTTGACCTGTACCTTGGATTCAGTTTGAGGTCTGTTTTAATGTAAAATTGAATGTTTGCCTAAAATATGTGAAACAAAGATTTTTTTTTTTTTTTTTAACTGTAAGAGTATCCAAATCACTTTTCTTTACATAAATATGAACTTATGTATTTATTTGACATTTGACACAAATTTTGTACGAATGTTTTTACATAGCTATAAGGCAGTGTAGTTATTTTAATGACTATATACTGGATTTGGGCTAAATACCTCAATTAGAGTAACCAATGGTGCAGTTCCATTACAAAAATAAACTCTTAATGCACAAGGGACTTGCTAACACCGGCGTTGTCTGTGGTTTTTGTATTGTTTTCTAATAACCAGACTTCCTTTCATGACTAGCAGTTATCTTTGTGTGTAACTTTGGCCCTGCTCATCACAGCGCCATCCCTGGGATCTTACAGCTTCCCACATGCCCTTGTCATTACTGTAAGGAGAGAAGGAGGCGCCTGGTTTTATGGACTGGGAGTTGGATTTGCACTGGGAACACCTCCATCTTCTCACACTTCAGCATAACAATTGCTGCTGCTTGCTTTTTTTTTTTTTCCTTTCATAAATTAGCATTGTCCTAGGTACAGTTTTATCTGTTTCTTAATCATGTCCTTAATTTCACATCTGCTGAGTTATAAGCTTCCTTTTCCTCAGTGATTCTCTCTTAAATTGACTTCTTTTGTGCATGATCTAACTGAAGCTTCTGGAAAGAGCAGCAGGCAGCGACCAGCAGGGGAGTCTGGAGACTACCTTTGTTCTGACACTGCTGGTTTTGCATGTACCAATACTCCAGACTCAGACTTTTACTGCTCATTTTCCCATTGCCTGAAGTCATGTTTGTGTGCTTTTTCTTTCTCTGTTTGTAATTTGATTTTACTGCTTTTATGCAAGATGTGGGGTCTAGTACCAAATGATAGTGTTTGCAGGTACACTCTAAATTCACAGAATTAGTTGGGGAAAAATGCTACTGATCAAAAAAGGGTAGCTTTTAAAAACCAGCCAACTTAACCTACAGCCTTTTACCTCAAGCTGAATTCTTTAAATTAAGAACAAGCCAGTACTAGACTAGTGTAGCAGTTGTCATCCTTTCCCTTCCCACCCAACAGCAAGTTATAAATAATTTTTTTTAAAGAAAACTCCCTTGTATCAATAAACCTTAATGGTGTTCTACCACCTGCTCCACCAAGTGCAGATTGTCACCTGCTACACGACTGGCACACCCTTTATTGCCCCCACTACTGCTGCATGACTCTGTCCAAGAGCAGCTGCTGCTGGGACGAGCCTTGGGAGCTCTTGTGACATTGCTCACGTTACCTCACAGAAGAATTTAACATGCATTCAGGTTATGCATCTTCTGCAGAGATCTAGAAGAAAGTTTTATCCCAGATTACACAAAGTCTACCCAAGCCATTCAGAGTGTATCTTCATCTTTTTTTATTTATCAAAATACACAGAGTTCTACAAAAACCCGAGTAACACTTTTATCCCGTGTTTTGGTGGTTTATATTAAAGAAACACATGTCTGCAGGTAGCATGAAGACATTCTAAACAGACACACCATCACTAGTTTAATGTTTCTTCAGTAAGAAACATGACCCTGTAACCTATCGAAATTCACATAATTTAAGCATTCCATAAAAAAGATGTAGTTCATAATTACAGTAGGAAAGTGCTGTGCATTTACATTTTAAGAACTCAGAACATTCGCGTGTACATCTCAAAATGGCAAAATAAAGTTGTCTTCTTGAGGTATAGTGGGAATCAGAGCAGCCTCCAACTCCTTCTGCTTCTGCAGGAGGCCCTGAAATAAATGAAGATGAGTGTGAACACTCTGTCTTCCTCCTGCAGCCCGAACTAATAAAGTATCGTTGTTGTGTATTTTCAAACAAGTTAGTTCCACGTTTAGGCTCAAGGCTTTTTAAACATACACCTTTAAAGAAAGCAGCCCAAGGTGACACAGTGCTTGGCGAGGGGACCCGAGCGGGATGGGAGCGGAGGCTCCGGGCTGGCTGCAGAGGGCGCCCTCCGGCCCCGCCTCACGTTTCACTGGCTCCGCTGTGCGCGGTCCCCGCGCCTGTGGCACTCCGGCCTAGTCCTGTAGGAAGCTGCACTCAAACCCTTGAGTACCAGCCTTCAAAGTTAACATGAACTACACTCTGAGATAAAAGGCAGCATTAGCATTTGAATGAGAGTAGTGTCAATACTTTAGGCTCTGGGTATTCACTCTCAAACAGCAAAAGATTCCTGCTTTACTAATGGCTCTCCTAAGTACTAAGACAATGAAGAGAACCAGTAATAAAAAAAACCTCCTGGAAGTGAATCCTTGTCATGGTGATAAGTAACACATGCTATAGCTATGTCAGGTCATTTAAAATGAGTCTTTTTTTCTGCATTAATAGAATCATATATATCGACACATCTATCCCCTTGGTCTCCATCAATTTTAGACCTGTCACAAGGAATTTAATTAACCAAAGTTAAGGGCTGTAGGCTGGCACAGCTCAGTATAGACTAATGCAAGCTAGCAGATACTCCAGTGCTTCAGCCACGATATTTCTGGTGGCACTGACGTGGAGAGAGGGAGCTACAGAACTGACTTCAGTTAGCAAAGAGGCCTGTTCCCTTTCACCTTGCAGCCTTCCCAAAGCATCAGCTGCCTTCTTTCAGTGCCCTGATGAATTGCTTTTTAACTTATCAACAGTATCTGCTAGTTCTATTCAAGTCAGTGGACTTACTCAGTCCGTCAACAATTACTTTTATTATAGAGTGGTTTTTGCATTTAGTAGCTTGTTACAAAGCAAAGTCATGCACTAAATTGCCCTAAATCAACCCAGAGCTGAGGTGAGAAACAAGTAACATTGAAAACTAGAACAACTTCTGTCTGTGTTTTGCAAAGGTCATAAAAGCAACCTGGAGGAAAGGAATCTGAAATGCCTACACAGGGACAAACAGTGAGGTCTGTTTTCACTGCTCTTGGACAGCCTGCTGGTGGTCGGCGAGACTGCACGGTCATTGTAGGCTACAACCTGTTGGCAAATGGGTTTATTGCCATAGTAAAAATAATATGTTCTGGTATCTACTGACTGCAGCTGTGATTTTTGTCTTTTCGACTCTCTGGATTTCAGTCGGGAAAATAAAAGTTGGTTCCTATTACTGCTGTCACCTGAAATACAGGAGGGACTTGCTGTCTCCTACCAAAGGCAATGACAGAACCGCCCTCCCTTTGGCAGAGGAAGGTCCTCACCTCCTCTCTGTTTTCATTGGTGTCTTCCAGTTCAGCTGGGTCAGCCAGTTCAGATGGACTGTCACTGCAGCAGCCCCAGTGGGTTTATCATCTATCGCCCTAGTTGGGTGGATTTCAAAGGCTAAGAAGACTCATCAAACATACTGCAAATTCTCCTCTGACTAAAGGCTAAAGAATGGCCAAATATGTCATGGATATATCTATTCTGAAACTATCGATCCAATTTAAATATGCATGTTTATATAAATTTTAAGAAGACAAATTATCTTCTCAAATAAACTCTGCTCTTTGTCTAAATTACTTTTCATACAACATACTGCATTGCTTTTCCTTTCTCCATTAAATAACTATTGCAAAACAGGCGTCACCTGGAGGAGCAGCCAACACTCAGGTATACAGGACATACCCAGGTTTGACAGTTAATGTCCTAAATGCATTCTGCAGGTGGTAGGATATTTAAAAAAAGAATTCTACAGGCATTAAGTGAACCTTCTGCTAGAACTGAGGTCTACTGCAAGAATAAACATTAGTTTTTAGCCACTGTTGAGACCTGAATATATACTATGCATCAAAAGAACCTGTGTAAGCTCTTGTCTTTTAAGTTCGCCAACATGGATATTATCCCCTTAAGCCCCTTTAAATATCCATGGCTTTTGTTCACCCCAGCAAGCACATGGGTCAAACTGTGCTTTGCAGCTGGCTACACTCTTAACCAGAATACCTCGGACAAATGAAGTCTGAATACAAAATCTTTAACAGCTGCAGATCTTTAACAGAACCCTTAGTGGGCAACAGGGAAGCCCAATCCAGTCAAACCTATTTGGAAGCCTTTCCAAAGCGTCAGCCTGTCTGTCTGCTGGGTCACAGCTTTACTCCATGCCCTGAGGAGAGCCGTGACCTTTGCCTGCACAAGGCATTTACCTACAAGAAAGCTGGGGAGGGACTTTTTAGGATATCGGGTAGTGACAGGACTAGGGGGAATGGGGCAAAGCTGGAAGTGGGCAGATTCAGGCTGGATGTGAGGAAGAAGTTCTTCACCATGAGAGTGGTGAGACCCTGGAACGGGTTGCCCAGGGAGGTGGTTGAGGCCCCATCCCTGGGGGTCTTTAAGGCCAGGCTGGAGGAGGCTCTGGGCAGCCTGATCTAGTGGGAGGTGTCCCTGCTCATGGCAGAGGGGTTGGAACTGGGTGATCCTTGTGGTCCCTTCCCACCCTGACAGATTCTGATCTGTTTTAGCAGAGGACTTTAGAGCCCTAATGGCTCAATGGTTGGACTTGATGATCTTGGAGGTCCCTTCCAACCTAAAGGATTCTATGATTCTATGATGTATGCATGGCAGAACTTCTTTCTAAGGCACAGCAGGTAAGTCACAGCATTAACTACTTGCAGCTTTGTCGTACTTGTCTGTCAGATATTCTTCCCTTTATTTTGATCATTTATGTCATTTTTCTCCCTTAAGGCAAAGAAAAGCAATTAGTGCTGCTAGCAATACAGTACTTTTAGCATGGAGCGATTCAAAACCAAGGGAAGATACTGATGGGTGTTTTACCTTTAGTGTTCTGCAGGAACAAAATGAAAACTTAAAAGTAAACGTGGGGGTTCTTGTCTTGCAGTCCCCTGTCAGGCCACTCAGAAGCACCAAAGGAACCTGTTTGTGTAATTGTCCAGATGGGTGGTTTGAATCTACCGAGGGCCACACTTTGTTGCCAACAGGCAGAGTATCAAATTCATTCATTCCTAAAGATGCCTAACAGTATTTTTCCTGGTATTCTGACTCAAATCAGGCAAATAGGTGACTTTGCAGTTACCAGAGATAATCTTCTGTGCTTCTTCAACCTACTGCAGTATGGATCCTTCAAGAGAGTCTCACCATATTCAAAATCCTTCTGGCAACCCTGTACATCTAATCGTTGCCAGGAACGTCCTACAAACAGAACAATGTATACAAACACACACAGGCTTTAGTCTCATGAGCTTGTGTGTGTGGTATTAAACTAAATTTCATTGTGTATTTGGCCAATTGACAAATCTTGTGTTTTGTGTGTTAAAGAACAGCTATCTTGGAAGGATTTTATAAGTGTTCACACTTCAATTTTCCAAATTACAGTATTTTTCCAGGACATGAGTACCACCCTACTAACTCTTCTGCACTGACCTTGTTGCTCTCTTGTGACTGGGTTAACCAGGAAATGCAAAAGTGAAATTTTATTAACAAGGGTTCTAGTGTTTTCTTAAAATACTGATTTTTTTCCCCTTGAAATGGAAACATTTTTACTATGAGCAACCCAAACTATCAAAACCTGGAGACTGAATGAAGCCATTCCACTTGGTTTCACATCTTCTGTAGTACTCCACTGTTTCATAGCTAATCTAAGGACTAAGGAATTCGTAGTCTTTCTTCTAAGGACAGTCCAAAAGTGAAAGTAATGTATGAAAAGCAAGAGCAGCAACAGGGACCAACAGTAGAGGTCAAGGCCCAAAACTTAATTGTATATGATGGAAAAATGAATTACAGACTAATGCTTATAGCTTTGCAACAGTCTGCAATGTTCATTTTGAGGTTTATCCAGTCAGTTTTTGCTTACCTGACGTAATTCTGACAAGCCTTTGAGAACTGCTTGTTGTCTCTCTCTGCTTTTAACGACATCAGGATTTAGAAGAGGAGCTCTAATGTGATCGGAGCTAAAAATCTGTCGTGGTGTTTGGTAAGAATCTGAAAGTAAACGTATAGCATGCAAGTTAACATATTCTTTATCAATTTTGTTTAAGTTTTGAAGCAGTAGATTTTCACAGCTTGTGAACATCAGGCTTTGGTTGCTATCAGATTACAATCACTATTTTTAAGTCAAACAACACTTAGATTACTAAACCTAAATCTCTATACAATAATACCAGAGAAGTGCAAATTCATTAACGGTAAAGAGACAAAAAAAAAGATACATAAAAGAACAAGAAAGTATGTTGGGTTTTTTTTCCATTTTTTAAAAAAAACCTTTTTCTGTTGGCAGTTTTTTAATACAGAGGATCATTTAGTTGCACAGGCTTTCTGTACAGTGCTGTGACACACATGGGTCACTGCAAAATTCAGTAAGGCCAAATACCAAACTGAATAAATTGTAGCACTTTGAACTACATCGCTGTAAGATCTCTTCTACCCAAACGGGCTCACAACCCCCTTCAGTACCGTCAGGCTGTCCGTGCTGTGGGCCCTCTGCTGACGGCCTGGCCGCGTGCAGACAATACACTTCACTTGTTCGGATGTAGGGCACAAACTGTGCAGAGGGAGGCCTTCCAGCCTCTGCCACCGGGGGAGGGGAGCTCCTCTGCTGGGCACCTCTCTTGGTGTTTTTCTCTCTTCTACTACTGTTGTTCTGCAGCAGGAAATTAGATGCATTTATCTGTTTTTGTTGTAATCTGTTCCTAACTGCTGGAACTGGTGGCGATGCACATCTGTATGAAACAATTTCAGTTAAGAAAACCCCCAAACAACAATTAAGTCATGTGATTAATTTTCTCCAGTAGTAGATACAAAGAATTCTCAAAGGACTAGACTTTTGCTCATTTACTCTGCTTTAATACCTGCAGTTTGTCTGGTCTTGTGTATTTTTAACAGGAGACGATTAGATGTATCTAAATTCTTTTTTAAAAATTAAAGATTAGGGAAAAAAAGAATATATATTTCACTTTTACTGCATTTATACATTTCATTTATGCAGAGTATTGACATACCTTTCTACATTCAGATAATTCTTGTGTAATTGTTCCTCCTAGGATAAAACCAAGAAAGTCAAAATTAAATTTAAAAGCTCCATGTTTTTTACAGTAAAAGCTTTCATTTTTCAAGACAAGTTTGTTCTGAAATTCCAAAAGGACTGTTGAACCAGGGTGCAGGAGAAAGGTATTTACCAAAGACTTCCATTGAAGAGACTTGAATCATAGAACTTGTACCATCTATGAATTAAATTCATTACAGGAATTACAGCAAATTACAGGAGGATTTGCTCCAATTTTCTATACCTTTGGTAGCTCTAAGCACAATCAAAAATACTATATATATATTTGCCAGTGACCTTAGAAAGCTGAATTTATAAACCTGAAAGACTCAGCACAAGATAATGATTATTAAAGGAGCTGTCATGTTTCTAGATACTTCAGTAGACGTTTTCTGTTTAAATAAAAAATATTAGCTTATCCTATGCTTCTTATGGTATGAGACAATGCTTACTTGTCTTAAAAATCTGCTTAAAATTTATTGCCTCATCTCTCAGGTACAAAATTCTAGAACATTTAAATAATATAAGTACAAAACTTACATTTGCCATTAACCTCAAACCATTTGCCATAACCAACAAACTCAGTTTAACAAATTAATGCATCTTTGAAGATATTTATGTGAACAGTTAAGTATTTTTTTATAGTTAAGTATTAGTGTACGTATATATGTATATTAGTATGTAGTTAAGTATTTTTTTTTAATGCCCCCAGCTTTTAAAATATGTGTATGTAGCCACAGTAAACAAATGACTAAACAGACTTGAAAGTGGCCACCTTTTCTACACCAGATTATTTCTGTTGGAAGGTGTGAGAAAGAGAGGTGTTTATGCACACATAGGTACATACACATATGCAGAAAGTAAGCACGTGAGAAAGAAAGGCAGAGGGAGAGAGAGAAGGCATGAATATGTTTGACAGTATTTTCTTCAAATTGTTTTTTTTTATTTTTACCCCAGCTATGAGCTATGCTGATTCATGCTTACTGCAAATGGAGAATTAATTACTCCACTAAGAGGGATGCATGTCTATGACAGCAGAGTGCATCCTCAGTAATCCATATTCTTTGCAAAAATAAGAATTGTTTTCTTGACTAAGTATTCCCATACCTCGATCATCACCACAACAGAATGACTGGACTACAACCAGCAAGTCAGTGAAGGCATTCTGTCCTGCACACTGCCTTCAATCAAGCAGTTTATATAGTGATTCAATGATGAAAAAATGAAAGAAACACCGCTTTGGAAGACTCAGTTAACAGTAAAAGCAAAGTAACAAAATCTTGACGTGTGCTTCTGATCCCAGTGAGTGAACCAACACCACTCCTCACACGCAGGATAGTAACGGGAGACCCCTCGGTGCGTGAGCTGCGCACCCAAGTTCCCGCACAGGGAAGGCTGTGTGGAACGAGTCTGAAAAACACACGTCACTCTTCTTAGAGACCAGATACTCACCTTTCTTACTCTGTGTCCTCTATTCCTCATGTTTATTTCTTCGTGAGGAGAAGGAGACCTGTCTGAATAACTACCCTTTTTGGGGCAGAGATTCCCAGGGGTATTCCTTTCTACCAGTTGAAGCAGCTTTATTTGTCGCCTTACTCTGTTTTCTTCCCTTTGTATTTGCAGCTGTTTAGGGTATCTTTCTGAGGCTGGAATGTATCTTTTCCCAGGATTGTTTATGTTCCAGTCAGGTCTTTTGCTGAGTCTTTCAGAAGATTTAATTTGTCTTCCTTTTCTTGCATATTGTTCATACAGATCACTGTAAATGCCACCAGTCTCTTTTCCTGAAATTCTGTTTTTATCTATAGACTGCGTTTCCTTGTGGTACTTTTTGCTGTTAGAGAATTCTTCATATTCTATGGAAATATCAGGTGATCTGCAACACACAGCTCTGTCCTCAGCTGACTTGGTGTATGCTGAAGTATTGAAGTAATCTAAAACAAAAAAAAATAAAAAGTATCTCAAGTCCAAGACTATGCTACTCAAATGACTTGACTTTCATATGCATATCCATCTACCAATTTTTTATTCAGAAATTACTTGTTACAGTTTTATAATGTTTTTTATTCTTTTTGATGTTGAAGATAGGACCAGTAGAAGAAAACTCAATAAGGAGGGGGGGAAAAAATCATTTTGGAGAATGAAATCAAGTAACTGTAAAGCAAAATGTATGTAAAATGAAACTAATTTTTTTTTAAAATATGGAATTCTATTTCTGTCATGGTACCCAAAGGTGAAGAGCAAACACAGCTGCTGTTTAGCTTTTCATCATGCCAATGGTTCTACTTTTTGAGGCACACAATGACTAAATTTAAGTTCTACACACCTGTCTGTACAGCAGTGTCTTTCCGAGAAGTCTGCTCATCAATGTGACTCTTGATGTCATCAGAAAAATTCTGACTCTGATGTGAAATGTCAGTATTACAATTTTCAAATTCTGTATCACCTAAAAAGAAGTAAAATGATTCAATTTAATAACATACGTTCCACATAAAACATGCTATCCAGTTATTAGGCTACTGTAGTTTAGAACTCAAAGAAAGACTAGGGTTCAGAACCTAATGCCCTCCCTTATTCACTGGAAAACTAATAGCACATAGGTCTGAATATTCCCCATGTATTCCTGGTAATATTTTTATATTTCTTACTTTATAGTATTTGAACCTTACTACGATTCAATATTCTCCATGTTACTGAACACTGATATTTATTTGGAAGGTAAGTAAACTGAAATGAAATTGGGCTTGTGAAGCAAAGGAGCAATTTCTGACCCAAAAGCAGACAGGAAAATACAAAAGAAAACAAAAACCAGTACCAACTTGCACATGAACACAGAAGGAATAGGCAAACTGAATACGGAAAGTCTTGTACTTGCCACCACCAAGATTCTTCTGAAGTTTTGAAATGTCATGTCCCTTCTGAGCCAAGTCTCGAATCCGCTGTTCTTGTTTTAATCTCTGTGCTAACTCTTGAGCTTTCTGCGTTGTCTGATAGAGCTCATTTGTTTTGAGAGTCACGAGTTCCTTTAGAAAAAAGTAAATATTCATGATCATTTATTTTGAGAATAAAATTAACAGTATTATTTAATCCCTGTACAATCCTCAAGGTTTACATATATTATTTTGGGTATAGCTTTCTTTAGAAAACATAAATGAAACTCGTTGAGTAGATGCAATATGTTACACATAATTTTTATGATTATATATTCGGAACCACTGCTGTGCTAATGAAAGATGCTCAATCCTAGAGTTAAGCCAAGCATCTAGATCATCAAAGTTATTTTAATATTTATCCTCTAATAAAATTACCTTTCCCTAAATGCCATCTGATTTCAGTCATCCTGATATGACTTCCTCTATCACGTGATTTAATGAAATAAAAGAAGCATAAATAAAAATAATTTAAAAGACCCCTTCCCCCTGCTTCCACAGAAAGGAGACAACAGTAGCCTCCCTAACAAAGGCAGAGCATCCCTAAATATGATGGCTGTAGTTTCCAGACTCAGTAGGCTCAAGACTGGGGCAAGCAAAATCCCATTTCCAAACTGCTGTTAAAATCTCATCCCCTCCTCCTACTGTATTTGCACAGTGGAAAGAGCAACTGATAGTGTAATATGCTTTGAAGGAGCTGAGTTCTGACAGAGAAAGATTACCTTCCCAATTTTTTACCAGTTTGTTCTAACTTTTACAGGGAGGTGCTGTACATTTCCTTCTAGAAAATGCACAGAAATCAGGGATCCATATTTCTGCAGTTTTTAGAAGAGGGCATATTTTTAGAAGCACCCTCTCTTACACCCTGATGGAATTGTGCTACTGTTCCAAATGCAAAGCAAACAGCAGTAGCTGCTATGGTGCCATAAGGACAAACAAAACATCAGACAAGGCTTTTAACCTTCAGCAGAGGTGTGAACGTACACAACTGCAAAACTTGTACTTACCAAAGGAAAAAAATGTACTTTTGGTTTAACTTTTATATGAGAGGAGTATGTAAAGGGCAATAGTTACAGAGGAGAAAGGTCTAGAACATGAATGACTTTTAAAATTGCTTTCCTAGAATATATTCTAACAAGCCTTTAATCCAGAGTGAAAGCACATCCAGTCAGATAAATGTCATGGTAGTGAAGCACCTTAAAAGCATCGTCACCACGAACAATAATTAGATCATGTACTTTGAGGTACTTCTTTCATTTAAAATTTGCATTTAAAAATGCATGTTTCTGCATTATTTAAAACTACAATTCAATTTTTGCCATTCTTGTAATTTCTCTTCCTGAAAGGGTGCTGGTCCATAAAAAAGAAACCTGACTTAAACTTGTACAGTGTTACAAATTTATTGAGGAAACAGATTTTGGTTTTGAATGCCTAAATTTCAGATAGTTTTCATTTTCAAAATGATGAAGCGACACCATTTTAAAGGTGAAAAACAAGAACCATCTTCCTCAAAACCCAGTACTATGACAGACTATGTGCACTAAAGAAAATGCAAGCCCCTACCTCATTCTGTTTTTGTTTTAGCCTATCTTCTTCAAACTGTTTCTGCATTTGTGCTTTTTCTCGTGCTAGGCGCTGTTCTTCCTCCTGTTCTTCCCATTTTCTCTGCTCTTCCTCCAGCTGTTTCTTCTTCCGTTTTTCTTCTACCTGAGCCATTATTGCTTTCTAGTATCAGAAAAACAAACAAACAAGCAAACAAAAACATCACGGTATTCTAAACTATTTCTTAGGATAATAAATGGTTTGGGTTGGAAGGGACATTTAAAGGTCAACTAGTCCAGTGCCCCTACAGTGAGCAGGGACATCTGCAACTAGAGCAGGCTCCGCAGAGACCGGGCCAATCTGACCTCCAGTGTTTCCAGGGGTGGGGCTTCTACCACCTCTCTGGGCAACTGATGCTACGGTCTCACCACTCTCACAGTAAAAAATTTCCTTCTTATGTGTAGTCTAAATCTCTTCTCTTTTAGCGTAAAGCCATAGCCCCTTCTCCTGTTGCAACAGGCCCTGCTAAAAAGACTGTCCCCATCTCTCTTACAGGCCCCGTAGTATATTTTTTCATATACATCTATAATAAATCGATTTGGACAAATAAAAAAAGGCAATTTATTTCAAACACTTTTGTTTCTTATAATTTATCACAAAATAAATTTATTTGAAAACCATTGGCTGAATAAAAATGTTTGAAAAAGTATGTTTTTAAAAATGCTTTTATTTTTCTTGTAAAGAAATGTTGTTTCATTTTTACCTTACATACCGTGAGTGTTTTGATCGAGTGGAGTAACAGTTTGACCAGAACAGACTCGTTAGTTTATTCTTTATGCTGTGCTAGAGATATCATATCATGCAGATATACAATCAGTTAGAGTGCCACAGAAGTCATGTAAATGACAGTAATTTAAAGATTCATGGAGTGGGGATCTGTAAACATCAGCTCTCCTGCTGACAGTGGAGACAGAAGAAAATTGCACACAAACCGACTAGAGCTCTGAAGACTGCACTGTGCTTTTTTTGAGGCAAGAATTCAGTTATGGAAATGCAATTGTCTCTCTACAAATATTAAATAAAACTGTAGAGTGTAACTAAATGAAATACCATTAAAGAACTGTAAACATGAATTCTGAAGCATAAAAGTGCCTCACTTGATTCTGATATTACCTCTCATGCTTTACTCGTGACACAACACTACTTTTCATCATTACTTTTCACTAAAATAGTGTTAAGACTTTAACCAAAATGTCTACCTGATGTTCTAACTGTTTCTGCCGCCGCCTGTCTCGCTCCTCAATCTGTGCAGGGTCCAGGAGAGCTGTCATTGAACGGAGGAAACTATGAACAAAGAAACAGGTAAATATTTTTAATTATCAAAGAATAATCCTAAAGCCTTTCTTTATTAGAATCAGATTTCAAGTACTATTTTTGTATCGCAGTTATCCCATTGTATTAATTCACAATTCTGAAATTAATTTTATTAAATGACAAAGTAGGGCTATTTGTAGTAAATTTTATTAATGAACAATGGAAGCACTGGTGTCTTTCAAAAGTGAAACAACTAGCATTTCTGAAAAAAAGCAAAAGCCAGGTGAATAAGATCCAAATATCTGACTTATGGAATTTTTTTTTTTTTTTAAATTTCTGAGGAGGTATCAGAAATGTACCGACAGGGAAGATGATTATCCTTACAAAGCTCACTCACCTGACTTTCTGACTGTGTTCCAAAGCACTGTTTTTAGCAGATTTTTCTGCATTTCCCACCTTTAAGGGCATTAGGTTGCCTAAAGCTGCAGGTGAAAAAGGGTGAATAAAAGCAGTCAGCTCCTTAGGGTCAGGTGACAGGCAAAGACTTTCAGGCTGCTTTTTGTACGTTCCACTTAAGGGGTGTTGTGCATGAGCATTAAGGTGGCTGCTTAAAGAATCAAAATGCATTGCCCATCTGTCATGCTCTTCAGCCTAAATAAATATGAAGCAACAAAAAAACGGAAATGTACTCAATTACACTGTTTCTGTGAGGTATGGTTAACAAAACAGACAATACACATTTTGTAGAATAGGAGTGTTTGAAAAGCTCTGTTATGGAGCTACAATACAGACAATAGTTAATGCTCCAAATGGGAAAACAGAAGTGTTCCTGTCCCTTAAAACACAGGTCAGATCAGAAATCATACTGCTAACCCATGTACCTGGTCATCAAAAACATACTCCTACTGTATTTTCAGAAAAAAATCCCCATCAGTAGAAAGTGGGAAACAGAAATTAAAAAAAAAAAAAGTAACTTGGATCCAAGCTTTTTAGTACTTTTTTTTTTTTTTTTAATTCAGATGACTATTTCATTTTGTAAATTTTCTAATAGTACTGCAAACTGCATGATTGAGAGGTCAATACACTGTCCACTCTGCCATGCTCCCTGCCTGTTGTGTATATATTCTCTTTCTAGTAAATCATAGAATCATAGAATC